TTAGTACAGTCTACCTTTGCTCAGATTTTCTTAGCTTTTAGCTGATACCATCTTGTCCCCAAAACCAGAAATGGCCCTCACAGGACAGTTAGCAGGCCTGCCTCCTCGTGGGTTGTGGCAAGCTCTCTATTTTCCTTGTGACCAGTGTGGTTTTTAAAAGCTAACATTATCAGACCACCAGACCCTTTGACTCCATATTTAAAGCATCCCAGTGGCTCTGTGTGGCTGAAAGAAACCCGAGCCCCTTCCACCAGCTTCTGAGAACTTCCTGCCTGGCTGCTGCTGTCTCTGCAGCTCCCACACACTGGAAGACTGAGGAAGATGCCTCCCTGCTTAGAGGCACTTTGCCTGCCCATCAGTGCCAGCTCCCTGCTCCTCCAGAGCTAGCAGAAGTATTGCCTCCCCAGGGATTCCCCTGAGCACCTTCCCAGTCACATCTTGTTTTGCTATGTGGGGGTGTGTGTATCCGTGTGTGTGGTATGTGTGTGTATGTGTGTATATGGGATATATGTATATGTGGCATGGGTGTGTATGCTTGTGTCTGTGTATCTGTGGTGTGTGTGTATGTGTTTGTTGGGGGGTGTCTCTCTATGTGTAGTGTGTGTGTGTCTCTGTATGTGTATGTAGTGCATCTGTGTATGTGGTGTATGTGTGTGTGTGTATGTGTGTGTCTCTATGTGTGTATGTGGGGCATCTGTGTATGTGGTGTGTGTGCATGTCTGTCCTGTGTGCGTGTGTCCCTCTAGTCCCTTCTTTCCCTGCTTTCCCATGGTGGTGCTGACTCTGTCCCACATTTGTGTTCATTTCCTATCCATACGTAATAAATCATCACTCCACAGATGGCGGGTATCTGCCTATTTAATATAATAGCAGTGTCCTGTGCACAGTGGGCAGGCACTGCGGGCATAAGGAGACAGGTGAAAGTACAACTGCACCTGCTGCCATCAGGGCCTCCAAAATCCCATATGCTGGATGCTTCTTTCGAAAATCAAAGGTGAGCCAGCAGGTGGCTTCAGTGCTAAGGCCCAAGGTCACCATTTCTAAGCCAGCAAGGAAAAAAAAGGGGGGGGGGGAGAAGGAGGCAGACGTCAAGTAGTTCCTCCACTGGTACTTGTTAGAATTTATACAGTTTCAAGCTTAAAAACTACATTCCCATCAATGGGGACTACAGCATGGCCACCCCTAGTGGCCATTCTCAGCAGGAGGCTGGTATTGACATCAGGGCAGCCATTTGTATTCACATCTCTATTCTAGGGGAAGGGTGAGCTGTGGTTTGAGGAGAGTAGATGCTACATGGGCAGTCAGCACACTGGCTGGCCTGGACTCTGCCTAGCCCAGAACAGCCAGATCTAGACAAGGGACCTATTCTGCTTCTCCTCCAGATTGCCAGGCGCAGTCACTGGACCTGGTCTTCCTGTTGGACGCTTCCGCCTCTGTGGGACGTGAGAACTTTGCTCAGATGCAGAGCTTCATCAGGAAATGCACCCTCCGGTTTGATGTGAATCCTGATGTGACACAGGTTGGCCTGGTGGTATATGGCAGCCAGGTGCAGACTGCCTTCGGACTAGACACCCATCCCACCCGCGCTGCCGTGTTGCGGGCCATGAGCCAGGCTCCCTACCTAGGGGGTGTGGGCTCTGCTGGCACAGCCTTGCTGCACATTGAGGACAAGGTGATGACTGTCCAGAGGGGTGCCCGCCCCGGTGTCCCCAAGGCCGTGGTCATGCTCACAGGCGGGAGTGGGGCAGAAGATGCAGCTGTCCCTGCCCAGAAGCTGAGAGACAATGACATCTCAGTCTTGGTTATGAGCGTGGGAGCTGTCCTCAGGGAGGCAGTGCGGAGACTTGCTGGTCCACGGGACTCCCTGATCCATGTGGCAGCTTACACAGACCTGCGGTACCATCAGGACATGCTCATCGAGTGGATATGTAGAGGTAAGGGGGAATAAATACTCGTCCATTAGGGCTGTCTTGAGACAGGACCTTTGCCTGAGCATTCACATGTGTTACTATGAGGAAGACAGCTCCCTTGTCCCCACTTGCATGTGTGAGCTTATGTGCTAAACCCTACAATCCCACAAACTTCTCCAGTGTTACCGGTCATGAGCTAAGCTGTTGCTGCGGGGCTGTGGGAGACACTGAGCTGTTAACCCAGCCCCACAGAGTATGAGTGAGCTGATCTTGGTTAGAACAGGGGCCTTTGGATTTAACACAGGCCTGGGCTCATTCTCCTCTGCAGAAGCTAAGCGGCCAGTCAACCTCTGCAAGCCTAGTCCATGCATGAATGAAGGCACCTGCGTCCTGAAGAATGGCAGTTACCGATGCGAGTGCCGGGGCGGCTGGGAAGGCCCGCACTGTGAGAACCGTGAGTGGATCCCTACTGTTCAAGCATGGATGGGGGTGGTCTCCTTCATCTTGCCAAGTTCTACAGACTCAGCAGGAGGCAGGTTGAGTCATTTAATCATTTATTTATTCCCCTATGAAACACTTGGAAGGGTCTTACATTTCTCAGGCATTTTTTTGTTTTGTTTTGTTTTGTTTGTTTTAGAGTAGGAGATATGATCCGGGCTGATGGATAAGGGAGAAAATCTGTCCTTGTGAAGCTTCCATTTTGGGGAGGAGACAGAGTGAGCAGTGCAACAGTATAGTGCATTAGAATGTTACTATTGTAACACTGTTACTGTTCATACTACGAGAATGTTACACTAGCAGACAAGTGCATTGGAACAACCATGACAGCGGGAGGTGGGCCTTGGGTAGCAACATAACATGGAAAGATCCAGAGCACAGGGGACAGTGTCACAGGATGTGGGGCCAGAGACATGTAGGTGGGTAGACACATTGTGGCAGTCAGCTGCCATTCTTTCTTGAATATCTCTGGTGACGGTGAGCAGAACCGCCTGCTGGAGAGGAGTGAGAAAATGGGCCTTTGGGAGGAAAGTAGCTGTAAGGAGACACAAGTAACAGACTGGGGCCTTAGATCAGGCAGAAATCAAGACAACTCGAGTTACGGCTTTTCAGCCCTTTGTACGCACTGGCTTCCAGTGGCCAAGGAGGAGGTTGGGTAGGTGGATGGGACCCTGTGACCTGCTACCTTTCATTTGGGGATGGACTTGTCCAGTAAAAAGGACATGAAGTATCTGAGTAGGCTGAGGCAAAGACTCAAATACCCTCAGAATTCATTTTCTTTCCTAGGCATCTTGAGAGGAGATGCACCCATGACACGTAGCTTCCGTCAAGAGCCTGCAGGAAGACAACAGCCAACTCTCTCCCAGCAAGCTCCAAAGCATCTTGGAATCTGAAAGGCACTGTCCTCAGCCAAGTAAATCTCCTGGGGGCCCTGGAGCGTCTGCTTCCAGCTCTAAGAACCATTTTACCCACAAGCCTCTGCCACAGGGGACACTGCTTGGGACAGTAGCAGCTGTAGTCACTATGGTGATGTTGGAAATGCCTAATGTGTCAGTATTTACTTCCTATATCTCTTTGTACCTTGTTGAGGTAAGCTGCCTGTCACTTTTTCCTGAGGATAAGAGGCAGGCCAGAGAGATCTATTGACCTACTTGAGGGTCATCACAGATGCTAGACAGATTTGTGTAAGGTGATAATGCTTTGAAAAAGATGTCTGTCAGAGCTCACCATCTGGTGATTGGTGCAAAAGGTGGGCTTCTCTATTTTCCAAAAGACAGTTCCTATGGGTTTAGTTTGAAAAGGGATTACGTGTCATTTGTGACTTTTCCTGGTGAGCAGATCTGTGTGTGGGAGAGACCTGGGAAGGTCTCAGACAGCCATTTGACCAATTAACCAGTTTGTGTGTCGGGGAGAAGCATATTGTGCGAACAGCCATGTGTGATTGGTCTGGTTGCTGAGCAAACAGCTTCCAGAGGGGCTTGCTTTCAGAGTTTACTCAGGGGGGAGTAGCAGTTCATTGGCTGCCCTCCCCTTAGTGGTAGCAGTGATGGGCAGATTTTCTCAAACTCAGTAAGTGAGGGATGAGGAGGTGCCCAGTAGCTTTGCTTTCAAAGCTTACTGTGCTGTTCTGTCTTAATGTGTGTCTCACACGCAATCGGTAATGTTTCAAGACAGATTGGTCGTTCGTCCATCAGGGCTGTTTGTATCTGCTGGCAACGAGGATTCTTTGGAATATCTTTCACAAACTAGGTGCTTAACTGCAGCGCTAGAATATCATCCCCACCCCCACCCCCACCTGTGCTGTTTGAAGCTGGGTTTTTGTAAGAAGCCATTTGTAGAGCTTTGGGAGCTACAGGACAGCATCTGAGAAGCACTGGTAATGTGTATCTATGTGCAGCCAGTGCTGTAAACTCTGTCTGTGTTCTGTGCACCAATCTGGCTGGCTGAGACGCTATTCCAGGTTTGCAGTATGCTTTCCCCCTCTCCTCCCCCATTTTTTTCTTCACATTTACACTGGGATGTGAATGCTACATATTGTAACATTGTCACAGCAGAGCAGTGCTGATGTCATCATGGAACACCAGAATTTCCCAAACTGCTGAACAGCTGTAGTCATAGGACCTTCCTGTAAACTCTGGTCTGTGCCTGTACTTTCGGGTTTCTTGTCATTATACTATATTCTACTCTACTCTGGGCTGTCAGCACCATGTTCAAGGAGTCCAGATTTGGTCTTGATTTCTAAACATAAACTAAAACATTTATGTTCTGAATATCCTTAATCATTTGCCTAGGCAGGCTTCTTGGTATGGTTCTTTTCCCCAAGAACTACTTAGGAGGCTGTTTAACCTCCAAAGGTCTGGTTTTCAACCGTCTGCATGAAATCAGCTTCTGTAGATGCTTCCTGTTTGCGAACCTTGTGAATTATACAATTAATACTCCCTTTCAGGTTACCAGATTAAGGAGCCTGGAAGTCTCTTGCTAGGCTCCTCCTGTGGCTATGCCATTTTTACAGTGTATATTTTGCAGTTCAGTGTGTAGATAATCGAGACCTTTGCCCCATATCATTCCATGAAATACAAGGGAAACCCAAAATACAGTGAACATTTTATTTAAAAAAAAAATGCCTAAACTCACCACTTGATAAAGGTCACCAAGTGTTTATGATACAGGAAATAAATGCCCTGGGATTAGAAAGACAATAATATATGTGTAAAAACATTTAGCCTTCAGAAACCAGTGCTAGAGAACTGGTTCCAAACGCTCAGAAATGGGGCAGGTAACAGATGAAATGTATCAACTTGTGTTAATGCTGTCCACAGAGAGACAGCATATAAAGACAGCACTGGCTGCCAATCTCACAGACAAGACAGGCTACTCTAATTTACGGCTGTTTTCCTTGCAAGGGGACCAGAAATTTAAAACATCTTTAAAATGGTAATGAAGAGGTAATTAACTTAAACTCTTTTCTTAAAAGTAGCCTTGCCACAGGACAGGGTCTGTAAACACAGGAAGTTCCCCTTATATAATACAGCATTGATTAAAAGTTTGCCTGGATTGGGAGAAAGTCCTTAGTGCCCCCTACAGGGTCAGTGCCTTAGCTTGGTTCCCAATATGTCCCTCTGCTACTGATTTCAAGGTTCTAATGTTCTTTAAGATCGTCAAAGACCACACTGAGCCCACCCAGTGTCGAGGACAAACATGGGGGCAACGCATGATTTAAACCTTAACATTGCCAAATACAGGATAAAAGATGAGTCAGAAATTTAGATTTTCTTGTAACCAAAAGCAATGTGGCCATTTTCTCACTACCTAAAAATCTTGATAAAACAGTTGAGTGATGGATGAAATCTTTAAAAAGAAAAGGGAAAGTACATTGTCTCACTGACAGCCAGTAGATTTTGTCTCCAACGCCGCTGCCGATGCCACCACTGTGTTCCCTTTGGCTTGAAGAGGAGACAGGGCTCTTAACCGAAGCTCCATTTGCAGCAAGCCCGTCATTCCTTGCTTTTCCTTGTAAACAGACTCACCTTTCCTCAGAGTTGCTGTTTTATTGAAGACTTGACCGGAGCAGGATTGTCACCAAGGTCCACAATCACACAAGAGTCTTTAGGCAGTTCTTGTTTCCTAACTGGCTCCTTTCTTCTCCCATTCCTATAAGTACGGACATAAAGCACCCCACCCCCCAAAAGAAAGTTATTCTTTGTATCTATCTTCATATATGTAGGAAAAGGTAAGAAAAACTATGAGCTCCAAAGCAATTACAATCGTAGCTAGCCTCAGCCCCGGGAGGAGCACAGCCGAATGCTGTGATCGACTAGTGATTTCTCCAGGAGTGAGGCACTAGAGGATTATGCAATTAAACGGATTTAATAGTTCACTATCGGTGAGGGTGTGGGTGTCTGACCTTTTCAGCATCTACACAGGACAGGAACAAAGTTTGTCAAAGCCAACACGACAGTCCACGTGGGTTTCTCACTGTACACCTGAGTGAGTTACAGATTAAGGAAGCTTCTCCTTTCGCCCTCGGAGAGAAGCTACATCATGGGGTCAGGCCCTGTTTTTACTTTATTGAGCCTTTTGTCACTGGCTTCTTTGGTTTGATGGTAGGAACCTTTTGGGTCCCTGGGATCTACTCCTGAGTATTAAGGAGGTCATGGGTGGAGACGCCCTCAGGCTCATTGAGAAGAACACTTGGTGAATATAAAGACTTTCCTGGTTAATCATTGGTAAAGACTGAGCCGTGGTGATGATCTGCTGAGAGCACACCTCCCACTTAGAGCTAGTACCAAAAGCCACAGAGCTCCATCTGCAGCTGAAGAGTGGCTGCTTACCTTGGCTTTCTGCAGGACAGTGCCTTTGCCTGTGACCATGACAGAAAGAGGCCTGTTCTTGAGCACAGATGCAGAGTTGACTGGCGTAGAGTCTGGCAGGGGGTTGGGGGTGGCAGCTTTGGGCTGTGGCTGAGAAGGAGTGCAAGGACTGGGTCAAAGGTTAATATATAAAACCCACCTCTCCTCACCTGCAACAGGAGGCCCTGTGTAGAGCTCAGAGGAGCCCCAGAGCCCAGCACTCACACGAGGGCTCATGTTGTCCAGGTGGGTGGTATCCACAGTGGTGCCCAGGGTCACAGGCCCAGCCTCTGCCTTCTTCAGGTTGTCCTTCACCTCCATGATGCTGAGCTCCAGGTCCACGCGCCTGCTCTCCTCCATCCGACATTCCTCCTCTATTTTCTTCAGTGTCTGCTCCAGCTTGGCCAGGACTCCCTTATCTGCAGAGAGGATCAAGCTTGCTGCAGAGGCAGGTTTCTTTGGGTTCAAGAAACGAATTATTATGTGGTATTCTTGAATGAAAATGACGCCCATTGGCTTGTATGTTTGCTTGGTCTCCTGTAGGTGGAACTGTTTGGGAGGGATTAGGAGGTGTGGCCCTGCTGGAGAGGGTGTGGCCCTGCTGGAGAGGGTGTGGCCTTGCTGGAGAGAGTGTATCATTCCTGGTTAGTACTCTCTGTGCTTCGTGGTCCTCAGCATGTGAGCTCTCAGCTTTCTCTCTCTCCAGTGCCTGCCTGCCTGCCAGCTGTCATAACCTCACCATGACTGTCATGGACTCAACCCCTCCAGAACTATGAGCCCCACATTACACCCTTTCTTTCCTAAGTTGCCTTGGTCATGGTATTTTGTCATAGGAATGGAAAATTCACCAGCAAAACTGCTAACTGAATATATATTAAAAACTCACTGCCCTGCACACATTGTATAGTTTCACTGCTGGACAAATGGACTCTGTCCTGACAACTAAAAAGTGGAGAGACTCTGTCCCAAAGGCCTTCCTTCAATTGTCATGCCAAAAGCTTCCCAGGAACCTGTTGCATTTGTCCCCAAACCTGTTAGGCTGGTTGTGCTTGCTGTTGCAACTCTGTGATTTACATATCAAGTGAGATCCAGGTCAAGTAATTCTGAGAGGCCTCAGAAGGAAACCTCCCATGAGCCATCTGAGACTGGAAGGCCTCGGACTTTTTTACAAGTGTCAGTGATTTTATGCACTTAAGACAACAGCCTGGAGATTAAGTAGCGCCCTGCAGGCGTGGCTAGCATAGGGGTGACTTGGCACATCAGTCAGCTGACCCAGATCTCAAACCTGGGCTCAGCGTCAACCTGGGAACAGCCTAACTACCTGCTGTCCCTTGGATCCGGGCAGAGATAGCCTTAGGACCCAAAGAAGAGTGTCCTTTCCAAGGGTGAGGGGACTCAGGCCAAGGGATCCGGAAGCAGATGACAAATCCAGGTTTATTCCCTCTCAAAGCCTATGTGCATTGAGACAAGCTTCTACCCTGGCCCTCCACCCAGAGGCCCCCTACCTGTGCATCTTAACATGGTCTCTTTGAGTTCCCGCTTCTCTCTGCGGAGCTGAGCCAGGTGCCCTCGGATCTCCTCCTTACTCCTCTCCAGCCTCTCCTTCTCCTCCGTGTACCGCTTCACTTCCGCCTCCGTCCGGTTCTTCCCAAGTTTGATCTCTACAGATCAGAGAGAGAGTGCTTGTATCAGCGGGAATTGATGAGGGCTGGACCTAAGCCCTTACCCTAGATTTAGAACCTAGGTGGAGGCAGAACACCCATGCTGGATGCCAGCCCCACAGTGATGAGGTGGATGTGTCCTCACTTTCATTGTTGGGGTGGTCCAGGGCAGGTTCCCTCACCTCTGTGAACCCACCCTCTCGTTGGAAAGATAGGGCATCAGGCTGACTCACCATGTCTAAAGTGTTAAGCCTAAATCTAGTCCACATACCTGCACTGGTCACCCTCAGCTTGTCCTTCACAGGTGGGCTGGCACTGATGGGGGCGGCAGCCACGGTGTCCGAGCAGTTGGCCGGGAAGGAGATTCTTTGCTGCTCGGCCTGCAGCTTAACCGTGGTGATTCTTAGGTTGGGCTCCACAGGTTCTGAAGACTCCTGACCCTCTGGCTGCCTCTGTGCCAAGAGAAGTCACACACACTCTATGACTGCAGGGTTTGGCAAGGCGGCTGGTACCTGTTGACGGGATGGTCTGTACCTGCTGAGCCTCCGGGTCTCCTGGAGACTCTGTGTGGGGCTCCTCTGGTGTGGTGACTGGCTTTGGGTCTACTGCGAGGGTCTCAGCTACATCGTCCTGATGTGGTACTGCTGGGAGAGAGGCCTGCACCTGGACCTCGCTGGTACTGTGCAGGAAGGACTTGACAGGTGTGAGATCCAGGTATACTCGGTCTAGCTCTCTCCCACTGTTAGCATCCACAGCAGGAGTGGCTTCCTCGGCAGGCTCCGCCTACAGGAAGAAGTCAAGGGTATTTACTATGTCTTTCCCTTGGCTGTAAGGGACTCCAGTCGCCAGCCCCCCCTCATGATGCAGTTTCTCAGTGGCTCCTCCCCTTCCAGAAGAACCCTCTGTGGTGTCCTGGATAGGATGTCAGAGTCCAGAGGCAGAAGACTCAGAACACAGCGTTCTGTGTAAAGAAGGAAGTAACTAGCCTTTCCACAGTGGGGGGTCAGGATTGAGGGAGATAGTTAACTACCCTGCTACAACTACTTCATTCCAGAACCAGGACCCTGCTGCCAGCATGCTTGGCCCGCCTCAGCTACCAATGTAGACTTTGCAGGCTCATGTGCCAATGCTCCCACCTCACGCTACCCGCCATCTATTCTACACGCCCAGCACCCATCAGAGCAAATAACCGGGTGTTGTTTTCTAAATAGGTCTCCAGTTAGGTGAGTCCCATGCTCACAGCCCCATGCACGAAAGATGGCCCCGTAGGTGACTAGGAACTGCTCGTCTTGGGGACAGTTTGACCGTCTGTGATCGAGGTTTGGCAGGGGAAGGAGTGGTCAGGGGAAGGCCGTGACCCCTCTCCCCCCCAGCCCTACCCTTGTCCAAGTGCTTACCACTGCCATAGGCTCTGACACCTCCACGTCATCATACAGATCTTCTTGGCAGTCCCGGCTGGGTAGGCCATCGATGTATGCGTTGGGCTCTGAGAACTTTCTCTGCATCAGTCTGGGAGACAAATGTGGGTGCAAAAGGTTTCCAGGTCTCCATAGAATCCCACCAGCCTCAAAGAATGCAGAATCAAAGCCCTGGGCTACACAGACCAAATGCCTGTCTTCTCCCAGCCAGGGCTATCTCATTTCTTTTGTTCAGAACTCTTGGGTCTAGATTTCCCCTCCAGAGAAAACAAGCTTCCCTAAGTCCCTCCTCAGACTCCTTCAGCCATCTTCTAAGTGTTCTTCCCTTTCATTATAGTACTAGCCGCAAGATCCCAGGACATTTCATTCCCATGGTGTGCCTGGGGCACCTCAGACAAGTTGTACCCCCATTTTGTACATTAGGGAACAGGAGCTATTTGAGGGTCCAAGCTGGCTTCTGACAGCAGCACCTTGTCTAAGACACTCCTGCCAAAGCCTGTCTGCTCATCTGTACAGTGAAAGCACGTATCTCGCCCTGCATATCCCAGAGTGCACTGGAGACCCAGTGAGGAGTCCAGGGGAAGGGCAAGGGGAAGTCAGGAAAAGTACCTCCTCTGTGCTTGGGAGCTAGAGAGCATCTAATTGTAACAGACCCTGGGGCTAGTTTTCTCTGGGTCTCCCTGAGGATGGGCCACGCACCTTCCCGGCCCCTGCTTTGCATCTCCCTGCCACAGGACCAAGCAGGACTCAACTGACTCTGTGCTCCTGGTGAGCATGCTGCCCTACGACCCACCAGGTCTAGAAGCAAGGCTGGATTAAAAGACATGCAAGGAAAGGCCTCTTCTTACTCACAAGAGAGAGGTCTTGGCCGCACTCACAATACAGGAAACCCTTTCGGCATCCACATAGTCATAGGTGAGCTCTTCTGGGTCTGTCTTGGAGCCCGACTCTGAGAGCAGGAGGCCTAACCAGTAGCCCATCTCCTCTGATGACTTGGCCTAGAAGGACATGCATTGTCATGAATAAGGAAGGAGTGCTAACCTGGCCAGTTCCCCCCCCACCCCCAAAGGCCAGGCCAGCTCACTCTGGTTCCTGCCATGAAGCATGAGACTAAAGCAAGGCATCCTCAGTTTTACGGGAACACTGTGTCTCCAAGCAAACCTAAACAGTGTTGTTTTGTTTTTTGTTTTTTGTTTTTTTTTTGGCAGTGGCACCATGGTGCCTCAGGGGCACCTCCTCATTGTCACCATGGTGATACCTCAGTGACACACTCCAGACACTGGTGTGGAGCATCACACGAAACTGTAGACATGAGTTTCTAGAAGCCAATAGCTACATTCTCAAGGTAAAAACCATGAAAGATTATCAGGAGCTATCGATTAGGAGGTGCTAAAGTTGTTGGTTACTGAATTACTGTACACATTGTAGGTTGGCTCTTCCATGGACAGTAATTGTCCCTTTTATCACCTTAACCCATGCATGGGAGACTGCTGAGACACCTCCTAAGAAACATCCAAGTTTGGATTTATTTTTATGACACCAATAAAGTCGAGGAATCTGAAAGACCTAATACAAGAGCAAGAAGTCCTAATTTACTAACTGGATCCCAGCAAATCTGGTGTTTCCTTTCGGGGGACAGTACATCCCAATCAACTGCAGACACTGGACATCTCTACTCAAATGTCAATATTATTTCTTGCCTTCATGACAAGAAAACAGACTTGTATAAAAGCCACAGGCTTATTTTCCTGAGCAAAACTAGTTACCCCCCTGGCCCCATGTTCCATCCTACCATCCTAAAGATGCGGCTACAAGCCACACATGACGTTTGGTTGATGCAACAGCCATCCTCAGTTTCTAACTGACTGGATTGGGAAGCACCTAAACACACCTTTGGGCATGTTTGGTTTTTGTTTTGTTTTTTTGTTTTTTAAAACAGGGTTTCTCTGTGTAGCCCTGGCTGTCCTAGAACTCATAGAGATCCTCCTGCCTCTACCTCCCAAGTGCTAGGATTAAAGGTGTGCACCACCACTGCCCAGCCTCTGGGTATGTTCATGAGGATGTTTCCGTGTGGATTTAAGTGAAGAGAGGAAAAGCACCCTGAACCACCTCACAGACCCAGGTCCTGTGCTGAAAGAGAAGCTGAATGAGGAGGATCGCAAGCTGAGGCCAACATTCATCTGTTTCCTGACTGTGGATACAAGGTGACTAGCTGCCTCGAAACTGTGTTTCCATGCCTTCCCCTCTCAGATGGACTGTATCCCTTCAAACTGTGTGCCAAGTCAGTTTCTCCTCTGAGTTATTTTCTGTCGGGCATTTATTCACAGCCACAAGAAAAATAAGACATATTTCTTTTCTCCATTGATTTCCACTTGGATTTCTCGATACTGGTTTTCAAAGACACCTTCTAGGCTTTTCAAAGATATCTTCTAGACCCCCTACACTGGGCAAGTGCAGCAGTTTCCTGGTGGTCAAGGTCACCTTCAGTGTCCTAGTCCTTTCCTGAAACTGTAACTAAACAACGAATTGTGTAATTAGCCAAACGTCATACTACCAGACTAGAAAATAAGTTCTGTGAAGACTGGTACTAGTTTTCTCTCTCATTCAAGGAGTACATGTTTGCTAATGGGGAAATGAATGGGTGAACTGGTCTCTGCAGGGCCATTGTTGGTGTGGACGTTTCAGCCACCAGGGGGCAGCATTGAAGCAGACTTGGAAGACCCATGGATAAAGTGGACGGGAGTTAATGGGCAAGTACTTACTTGTGTGTAGGACCTGGCCCCGCCTGTGGGGCTCCTCACAAGCTTGTATTATGTCATCTCTTGTTTTTGTAACTTTAACAGTGCTTGAAACCAAGGGCGGGGAGAGGCCAAAATGTAACTGTATCGCAGAGCAAGCCCTGATCCCAGATAAATTCCAACAGCCCTCTTTTCTGTGAACCGAGCCTCTGGGTTCTTGTGGCTGGTAGCATACAAAGTAAATAGCACTCATTTGAGTTTCAGACTCTGCTCTGGCACCATGGGAGCTAAAAGTACAGGAAGAAGCCTGTGGTCCCACCCCTGTTACAAAGCCACCCATCCTGAGGTCTGAACAAGAATGGACATTTTTTTAAAAATACATAAACTGGGCCGGGCGGTGGTGGCGCACGCCTTTAATCCCAGCACTTGGGAGGCAGAGGCAGGCGGATTTCTGAGTTCGAGAGTTCGAGGCTAGCCTGGTCTACAGAGTGAGTTCCAGGACAGCCAGGGCTACAAAGAGAAACCCTGTCTCGAAAAACCAAAAAAAAAAAAAAAAAAAATACATAAACTGCAGATAGTGGAGGTAAATGTAACATGAAGCCACTGGTCCTCTCTCAGTGGTTTCGGGGTCCTCAGTACTTCAGTTGACAGCTGAGACAGCCTGCCTTCGGCTGTCCTTCCTGCCTGCCCCACACAGCCGATGTACCTCGAGCTTGGCCAGCTCCTCGCCGTTGTGGAGGATACGAAAGGAATACAGGTGGTCGGTGCTGGGATCTGGTAGCACTTCACAGCCCACCAGGCTGAGGGGCTGCTGGGCCATCTTGCTCCGGTTCCGGTCCTGGTAGAAGTGCAGGTGGCTGTCTCTAACGAAGCACCAGCGTGACTTCCACTGACTGTTCACCAGCACATTCAGGTAGCCTGCAGAAGGACATGCAGACAGGAGGAGGATGAGGCCACAGGAGAGATGCATCTACAGAGGACAGCTCCTCTAGCAAGGGACACTCTTCAACAGGGATATGGCTGCTGGGGTACTAGAAGACCACAGGGTCTAGGGATGACACTACCACTGGGTCTTTTTGGGTGTCACCCATTTCAGAACCTGTCCTATGTCATCACAGAGATGACATCGGTCAGTCTCAAGAGTACGTGATTTTCTTCCTGGTGCTCTGGGGCAGGGCAGTACAGCTATCCTGTCCTTGACCAAAGTATGGCCAGAGGAAAGTGGGCTTTGTCCTCCATCAGCACTGGACTGGTGAGTGTATGCACAGGATACAGGTCCTCTACCAGACCTCACCTCCAGGCCTCTCTGTTCCAGCAGGGCAACTCCTACTTCTGGCCTCAAGTCAGATCTCCTGGCTTTAGAGTCAAACCTGCTGCCTCAGTTTCTTCTACTGTCTCAGTTTTCTCTGCTTCCCTGATACTTTGTCCAGATGTAACCCACAGTGCCCAACCCTCCTCTTTCCTCCTGAGCAGATGTGTCCATGCCTTCTCTAGCCTTGACTCAGTCTACCTTCTGTTAGAACATCTAGGACCTACTGCAGCAAAGCTCTGCACCAGTGCCGACCTCCTCTGCTGGACACATGTGCCTTCCCTGGACCTAGGTCTGGAGCTTTTAGCCTTTTGACTGGGGACACCATTTACCCTATAGCACCCAGATGCTACCAGCACCAGGGTATACCCAGGATACATCCTTTCTCATTCATGGATGGTTATGTGTTCCACTTCTCCAGGTCTATTGAGCTGCTGCCGTACCCCAATGCAGCCTTGTCTCCAGCGACAAAGATAAGCAAAACCTGGCCTCTGAGGCTTTCTATACACCCATGTACAATGGGTTCTCTCCTCTTTAAGCCTAACCTTCTCAAATACACAAGCTTGTGAAATAGGTCTTCTCCATTCTAAGTGACTGGCAGCATCTCTGAGCCCTAGCCAGATAAATAGGCAGGAAAACAGAATAGACAGCCCCAAACAGAGCTGGTCTCAGGGTAGATCGTGGGGCATCCAACCAAACCTCTACCTACATCGAAAAGACATCAAAGTTGATGGTCAGGATATCAGAAGCTAAACTCTAAACACATGCTACTGTGCCAATCACAACCCCAGGGACAAGAGACATTTAGATCCAGTGAGGTGAGACCTAAGTCCCTGAGTGTCTGTGAGAACTGCCACAGCCTCCTGGAGAAGACTATGCATGAAATTAAAACAGTTCCATGAACAATCCGGCCACCTCCCAGTGTGCACTGGGACCAGTCTCCCGGGCTGTACACTGTGCTTCCTGAGGGTGCAGTGACAGGCAGATGTAGGCCATTCCCCAGACTGGGAAGCAGAAGGCTCCAAAGGAAAGCCTTGCCTTCCACCCTGCCTGCCGCAAGCAACAGGAGAACCAGGGGCTCAGGAGAGGCTCAGAAGAGAACCAGGGAGTGGGATCAAGTAAAAGGCCCAGAGTTAAGCAGGGGTGGCCTCCAGGCCCAGGGAGGGCTGCAGCCAAGAGTTCTAGCCTTGGAATTAAGATATTTCATACCAGGATATTTTCTAGGCCCGGCCTGTCTGTCTCCTGACCTTCCTTCAAGTATGAATGAGAGGAAAGATGACCTGTGAGCATCTACCTGCTCTTGGAACCTGGGCTTCCCACTGTCCCCTACCCAGTCTCAGAGGGTTTTCTCCAGTTCTAACACATGTGTACCTACTCAGTTCCCATCTACACTCCAAGGTCAGGGCTGTGAAGCAAGTTCTGAAGATGGAGTAAGAAAGGTTCTTCATGACCAAATCCTAATAACCATGAAGATGGTCCCATGTATATTCAGGTGCAGGACTGTGCCTTCCACCCCTTCCCCCACACCCCCTTACTGACGCTGTCTGCCAAACAAACAGCATGCTTAAGAGAACACTGATTCCAACCACTTATTCCTCGCTTCCTCAAAGGACCTAACACTGTAGCAGGACAGAACCTGGTAAAGCATAAAGAACAAACCACAGCAGGGACAAACCCAAACCCCAGTTCTGTGGGCTCTCCAGCCACACAATCCTCTGCCTTTGCTAGGGCTCAACACTCCAACACAGTGAAGAAGCCCATGGTCCCCCGTGGTCGCTTTGGGTCTTACTGGATCTCTCCGGGGGCTCCAGCGAGGTAGATTTCTTTCTGCCCAGGTTCATAAGGTTGCTCAGCTTGAGGCCAGCAGAGCATTTCTTCTTGACTGTCAAGATGAGAGAGAAAGCTGTCAGTGTTGGACACAGTCTACCCACATGCAGACTCACCCCCACCTATACTCATGTGCACTCACGTGTACAGGTGCACCATACATGTCCAGGTGCACATGCACATATGCATACATCTTCCCCCACATGAGGATTGGCAGGCCAAGTCAGCTATTCCCAAAGTCATACACTCACGAGGATACACAGACACCCCAGTGTAGGTGGACACTGGGCGTCTGCATAAACCACATGGCCTCAAAGAACTTTGAAACAGGACTGGAAAAGAGGAGCTCGAAAGATGTTCTCTTCCCCAGCCTGTGGCAAAACTTAACTTTGGTTTGGCCCCCTCTCTCTTTGTTCTACTGGAAGCTATGTTAGAATCAGCTACCCCCTAAACCATTAGGGTTGAGCCAGACAGCCAGGTCTCACAGCCTAGAATAGTCTTGCTCTCTCAATCACAAGGTAGAGGGCCATAGCCTGGTTACCATCTTTGGTCTCTGGGAGCTCGGGGTGGCCATCGACGATGATCCCATACTCCGACGCTGATGTGTACTTCTCAGCTATGTCTGGCTGTGGACAACAAAGAAACAGGGATCACCTTCTGGGAATGGTTACCTGGGGAACGAACACTTCAAGGCAAACAGATGGCTCTTGTGAGCATGCCAGAGACACCCAAGCAAACCTCCACCAGCCAGGGGCAAGGCTACTGGCCAAGCTTTCATTTAGGCTCCCTGGAGCAACTACCATTACTCTCCTTCCTGAGAGTCACATGCCCCGCCCTCAGCGTACCTCCCTACCAGCCTGCCTGCAAGTGCTCCAAATGGCTGTTGGAGCTGATACGACAGTGGGCCCATAGACGACGGAAAGCTGCACCTTCAGGATGGACCCTCAACCTCACCCAGTGGGATGGGAGCTCAATCCCATTCCTGTTGGCAGCTGAACAATGGGCAAGACCCTGAAGACACTACCCTCTTCTCAGTACCCATGGCTGGGCTGAGGGGGTTGCCACGTGGCCTTCAGCCTTCCAGAGAATAAAGGATAACCCCTCCTCCCCCATTCCTTGCTTTCTGTCTTGCCAGTGCTGGGGACACAAGATGAGACACCACGCCCATGTTATTGCTGTGCACATGCCCAGGCTCCAGGCTTCCTGTTTGCTGGCACTTGGGAATTAGGAAGGGTGACCCATGGGTGACTGCACTAACTCCAGTTTCCTTGATTCTTAAAACCAAAGCTCCCCATAGCTCTGAGCCAGGAAATTGGAGATCAGTATCAGTATTGCTCCGCCTGGAGGCTAGGGACTCTGGGGTAAGAGTGCCAGCCTTGCAAAATAAATCTCCAGTGTAAGAATATAGCGTAATTCATTCTATATAAGAATATAGAGTACAATAGCCAAGAAGCAAGAACAGCCCAGCCTAGACTCCATCAACAGATGACTGAAGAAAACATGGCGTGTAAACACAATGGAGTTTTATTCGGCTGCCAAGAGAATGAAACCTCGTCATTTGCAGGAAGATCGGAGATCATCACATGAAGAAAATAGGTCAGACTCATAAAGACAAACACTGCAGGGACCCCTCAGTTTTACACAGATAAAGTAATTTGTATGTGACATGCAGCAGGGGAGCAGGAGAGTGGAGGGGCCAGCAGAATGGTAAGGAACAATACAATGTTTGCAAAACTGATACAATGTATGCAAATGACTTTTGAAACCCATAGCCTAGTGAACTTAGTCCTCTAAAGTTTTGTATATATGAAAAAGATTACAGGGAAAAGTGAGTTTTGTTTCAATAACATTTTCCCCCTAAGCAAGACGACAGTTAGGTTGTGACCCTTCCATCCATTTCCCTGCCAAGCTCACTTCCTGCCTATCCAAGCGTTGTGTGTTTCTTATTAATTGGGCTGCAATACAAGAACGAGGCTTTCAATTTTACACTTTCGATTTTTACCAAGAAGATACAGTATTAGACTCTCCCTCTGGGCAGTGGGAGCCTTACTTTCTGACAGTTTGGGCGCTGGGCATCTGGTGTGTACTGGTTTCCCTCCGAGGCTCCTTCAGAAGGCAGGGCACTCACTTCCTGGATGACCTGGACCAAAGAAGCACTGTGAGTAGAGGCCAGGTCCGTGAATGGCCTTGCTGCCCAGCCTCACAGCAGGGGAGACAGACCCTCAGAACAGAAATGTCTGTTCCCTAGTTCCAGCCTGTAAGTGTTCCAAGGACACAGTCACCCATTTCTATGCTTCCCTGAACCTATAATGTGGGGGTGCCTAGGGGCCTCTACATCAAGGCCCACAGATGACAGAGCCAGCCATCCCTGGGCCACCTTTCTGCCACCATGAGGGCAGGAATGTTGTCCTGTGGTGAGCATACACTTGCTGGGTGCTTGTCTGACTTTCCAGGGCTATGGGCTCACTATGGAGTCTCCACGCCATTTGGAAGCCGGCTTGGATACTGCTTTGATCTGAGGCAAACTCTGCACGCTTGCTGCCCACCGACCACCAGCCATAGGCCATCTCACTTTTTCTAGAAAGGACCTGTTTTACTGGTACTTGGTGCCTAGCCCGAGGACACTCAGGTCAGCGGTGGCCCTGACCTCACTAAGCAGCTATGCAACTCTCTTCTGAGCCCAGAGCCACCTGGAGGATTTCCAGAGGAGGAAAAGAGTGAGGGAAGACAGACATGCATGTGTGTGTGTGTGTGCGTGCGTGTATTTCAAGGGCCTTCCACTTTCAGTCTCTACCTACAACAGTTTGTGCAAGTAACTTTGAAATCAGAGGAGACAAAGAATGACAGGAAGAGTGGCTCTGAGGAAGAGGAAGTAAGGTATTTCTCACTTTCCAGCCTGCCCTCAGCTAGGGACTCAGATGCATGAAGAATATGCAACACTTCGTGGGAGGAAGGAAGCAGGCCCTGGAATCAGAAGCTTTGTGACCTCAGTCTATCCTCAGTCACTGGATCTGTACCTGTGAGGACTCAGTGTGGAGGACCCAGTTCAGGAGAGGTGCCTTCACTCCTGTCCTTATCAGCTTAGACACATGGAGGTCCTGTCTGGGGAGGAAGATGACCAATCCTGCCCTTCTACAGGGGTGGGCAGCTTCTCGGAGCCAGGGCTACCTCTGTACTTATCTGGCCAGGGAGAAAATAGTTCTCTGTGCAGCTTAGACACAGATCTGGTGTCTGCTGACTAGCGTTCTTGTCTTTGAGACTTCCAGCAAGAGTTGTGGTGTCAGGAAGAGAGGATGACGGTCTGGGGAAGGATAGGTAGGTCTGAGCAGACAGAAGAACAGTCCTGGGAACTAGATATAGGATCACTGAGCATGTGCAAATCTCTGCACAAGCACACGCTCATAAGCATGTGTGCATGTGTGCACTCTTGTGAGTACCTGTATGAATGAACTTAGCATGAGGACAGGCAGGGCTGTCAGGAACCAAAAGGGAGGGTCGGCAAGAGGAAGGAGCTCAACCAGCAGCTAGCCCTGGGTCCCAGGAACACTGCAGACCCGGACCAGACCCTTGCATTCCGTGGGCCTCAGTGCTGCCTGAGTGTCCTGTAGTTGGCATGCACTGGGCCAGGGGCTTAGCACTTTGCATGCATTAAAAAAACCAATGTAAGATCACTTCATATATGTGTGTATGAGTGTGTGTATGGCTGTGCATGCATATATACATACATATATCATATATACATACATACACATGCATATTATATACATATGCATGCATAAATATATATAACATATAACATGCATCTACATATATATATACACACACATAATACGCATATGCATGTATCTATACATGCATGATAGGCTTGACTTTTCAGAGTCAAGTAATTGATCAGGAATCCTCCAAACTGCGCATCTGTCTGGACAATGACCCTTTCTGTTCTACATGATAGTCTATAAGCCACCTGAAAAGTCTTCAGAAATGGCTGAGGTACTACTCCGGCCCTCCTAGGAGACTAGCTTGGCCAAACTTTTCAAAACATTTAGTGGTTTCACAGAAACAGCCTATTGGCTTTAATCTGGGGTACTCAGCACATGGGGCGGCCAGTACCTCCCATTTTCAGTCATGTTTTAATGGGTTCCTTCAGGCTCTTTTCTGACAGGCTCACGGTGATGGCTAGGCTTAGCCAGGAGGGGTGGGGTGGCAGAAACAATGCCACAGACAGCTTTCGTAGGTACGATGGCTGACCAGGTGGCAGGAAGGAGGGAGAGGGTGGCTCTGGTTCTCACTGGGATCACCAGGGGCTCTGGAAGGCTTTGAGACCTTGCTGAACTGAGCCTTTCTTGTTTCACTATACTTTCTGGACCTGCTATGCTCGACATCTTTAATTAGGCACCGAGCCCGTCCCCAGGTGCTTCCTTATCACGGCTAGCCTACAATAGCAGAGGTGCTCAGATGCATCTCAAGTGGCAGGGACCAGTACCCTGAAGACTGTCCAAAATCCATATGCAACTCGTTTGCCAGGTCCTCTGTCCTCTGAGCCTTAATCTCCAATCTTATGAAACAGGCTCTCCATCACTGCCCAGGCTATATTATACCCAGGATTAAATCTGCTCAAAGCCCAGAGTCCACGTGGGTATCACAGATGCAGCGAATATCGACTTTATCATGGAGGAATGCAGCAAAGAGATTCCAACTACATACAGCACAGGCCTGGCTTCCAGGAACTCATACCGAGCAGCAGAGTGCGGGTGGTGTCTAGTCCACGACACTGATTGCCAATACCCAGAATGTTAGAATGTTAGAATGAAGGGGTCCTTTCTACCCTCCACCACGTCATCTGACCTTTAGAAGAAGTTGGGAGGCAGATCTCCAGGAGCCCTTCCCTTGAGCACTGGAGTGGCCCCTGACAGTCCGGCCCACCCCACTTACCCGAAGCCACTGCTCAGCTTGGTCCTTGCTCTGCAGGCCCAGCACGATCACGTCGGCGTTCATCGGAGTGATCTTGAGTTTGTGCTCTTTCTTCCGCACTTGTTTCTCCTTGTGCACGACGATGCTGCCCAGCAGGTTCACGTCTAGCTGGGGACTGTGGTCTTTGGACGATTTGTAGCACTGCAAGAGAGAGGATGCTACTTTGTACACGATTCTGCAAAGGAGAGGCTCTTAGACACTGAAATGGCCCCCTCTCCTGTGCGAGCCTGATCTTATCTCTAAGCCATAAGGCTGGATACCCCAAGCAGGCCTGGGCTTTAACCTCAGTCTGTCTGTCTGTCTGTCTGTCTGTCTGTCTCTGTCTGTCTCCCTATCTCTCTCCATCTCTTTCTCTGCCTCTCTTTGTCTCTCTGTCTCTGTCTGTCCCTCTCTCTCTGTCTCTCTGTCTCTCTGTCTCTCTCTCTCTCTCTCTCTCTCTCTCTTTTCTCCTTCAAGCTCTTTGTCCCTGACTTTGCCAGGGATGTTCCAGGACTTGCATCATTTAAATAGTTCTATATTGCTCTGGCCCCTGAGAAGGGGGCTCCTCGAATACACCCATGTGCCACTTAGAGATATTCTGGTCAATGATGGATTGCAGCAATATACAGTGGCTTCCTAAGATTATATATATGCCTTAATGGCATAGTTGTCTTAGTTTGTATCAGAACAAACTATGACACTATGATATCACCTAAAGACACGTTTCTCAGTGCTACCCGACTAAGTGACATAGGACTCTCTGTCCCCTGAAAAAAGAATTCACTTCTCCACAGTAGGACACATTTATTATATTTCTTTACCTCTCTGCATACCTGTGTTTCCCAACAGAATATCCACTGGGTAGGAAAGCCAAGGTATGGTCTATCTTACCAGATAAGAAAACTCAAAGGAAGCGACCATCGTCCTCTATTAGAGAAGATGTGTTACCCTTCGATATCTTGTTGTAAAATGATCAGCAAGGCAAGATGACCCAAAACAACATCTGGACTGAGGTGGACATATTGTGACCAGAGGAAAGATGTTTATAAAGACCTCATGTGGGGCTGGAGAGATGGCTCAGTGGTTAAGAGCACTGACTGCTCTTCCAGAGGTCCTGAGTTCAATTCCCAGCAACCACATGGTGGCTCACAACCATCTGTAATGTGATCTGATGCCCTCTTCTGGTGTGTCTGAAGACAGCTACAGTGTACTCACAATAAAATAAATAAATCTTTAAAAAAAAAATAAAATAAAGACCTCATGTATGAGACTTTAGGTTAGGGCATAAAGCTGTTGATTTTTGCTTTGTTTTTGAGATGAAGTCCTGCTAGGACGCCCAGTCTGGCCTACAGTTCTGTCTTGCCCCATACTCTGGAGCAGCTGACCAACCACACCTAGTTGAAAACTGTGAATTTGAATTTAAAAATGTCAGGAAGTGGGGCTATTGTCAGAGCCCAGTCTCTGGTTCCTCTGCAGGTTTTGACTTAGAATAAATAGGTGGCTCTACGTTTTGTAATTCTTGGGACGATTCCAATAGTTCTCAGCTTGCTCAGACCAAAGCAGCAGCCAGAACTGAGGCTGGAGCTGAGCTGGGGAAGCTACTGGGAATGTAACTCTCAAAAAAAAGAAAGATGCGTGGAGACTATGTGTTGGCACATGTCTGTGATGTCAGCACTGGAGATGTTGAGGCAAGAGGGTGACAAGTTCAAGGCCTGCCTGGGCTAAATGATGAGACCCTCCCTCACCCCGTCCCTGTCTAAAAACAAGCAAGATGCAAGGGATAGGGTGGTGGACAGCCACCTTCCTGCTATGAGAGTTTAATTAAAAACTACTATATCTTCCTAATCCAGACAAAATACATTCATCTACACATGCAAAATTGAACATTATCTTAAGCTAGGGAAATGTTAAACTCTCCTGATAGCATAGGTTCTAACTCCCATACCCCCAATGTCCTATTGGGGAGCAACCCTCATCTCCCACCGCCCCCCATCCCCCTATAGAGAAGATAAGGACTGACCAAGAGCCTGGTGTCCCTGATCACACAGAGCTGCTTGGCCCACTGGCCTAGCCACTTCTTGCGCCACAGGAAGGCACAGATGCGGGCGTCACGCATCAGCTCAATGCTGGCCTCGGGTGAGGGCCACTGGTAGAGGGCCGCCTTGCCTTTGGTGTCCTCGTCGTAGGACTCGTAGGAGCTGCTCAGACCATCTCCATCCTCTGCAAGGAAGATCCACCCAATCAGTGAGGGCTCAGATCATAAACAACACACATCTGCACATAAGCAACATGAAGAAGGCAGCAGGCAGAACAGCTGGAAACCCTAGGCTGCCACCGCCCTGGCCCTCCTATCCTTGAAACAAATGGCTCAATGGCTTTGCACCCCAGCCCTCTTGAAGAAACCTCTCAGATGCTGACTCAGACCACAGACTGCCTTCATCGACTCCACCGATAACCCCAACGCAACCACCCTGCAGATGAGCTTCACCCTTGCCCTGTAGGCCTCTGGCTCCTCAGCTAATGGAAATTCCAGCTTCCAGGCTGGGTTCACATCTGCCCCAGGTCTAGGCGGGGTCTGTCTCTTCAGGGTGGAAAAGGAAAAAAAAAGGCCATAAACCACAGCAGGAAGTGGCTGTTTTCCTTGTTTAGGGTGTGGTAGTGCATAGATTGAAAGTCAGTACTGGGGAAGCAGAGGCAGGTGGATCTCTGTGAGTTCCAGGCCATCTTGGTCTTTATAGTAAGACCCTGTCTCAAAAGGAAAAACAACAGTAACAAAACAATGTCCTGGATCCTGGTAAAACCCTTCTTAACAATTCTATTTGTTCCCCAGGCCCTGGTCCCCTCACCTCCTTGGAACAGCCCTGGGCTCCCCACCTGGGCTCTCCCAGCTTTTCTTCCTACCAGCCAGCGGCAGCTTTACATTCTATCTTAAAGACTCTCCCAGCTCAGCACAGTACAAATTGTGTATGATTTAGTGCACACTTCATTTTCTTCCAAGTCTAGTTCATATCCCTACTGTCCTGCAAGTATAATTCTCTTCTCCAGCCTCACTGCTGTGTTTAAGGCCAACAAAAACTATGTTAAAAAAATCAATCTGTTTTCTACCCATGAATCCATCTGTGTATGCATGCCTGCATCCACTGACCCATGCATCCATCTGTGTGTGCATGCCTGCATCCACTGACCCATGCATCCATCCGTGTGTGCATGCCTGCATCCACTGACCCATGCATGCATCCATGTGTGCATGCATGTGTCCACTGACCCATGCATCCATGGACCCATGCATGTGTCCACTCATGTACCCATTATCAATACATCAATACATTCATCTAGCCATCCTTTATAACATATTATGGGGAAGAAAAAGTGACTCTGGATTCCAATGGCATCCCTATCTAGATCTAGTGACTTTGATATTCTGCCTGAATTCCCAGTGGACAAGGAGCTCCATGTTCCCCTGTTGCTAGACACTTCCCTCTACTCAGAAAATCATGCCCAGTTGCTAATTCCCTAAGCCCTTTGCGTAGTAGTTCCTGATCTGTTCCTGAGACAGATCGAACAATGGTCTCTACCATCCCATGACTCATTTCAAGAGATGAACTTGTGGGCTGTCTGTTTTATCTTTTTAGCTGGGTTCCTGCATATTAGTTAAACAGAGTTGCTGCAGTTAGAATACAGGAAAGTGGAACAGGGCTACTGTGGTTGTTATTTTAGCCATGGTATCAAACAAAATGCATTTACATTGTTTCAATATTGTTAATCGTAATTCTTCAATATTTTCACACAAGGTTTCTTTAAGAGTAGTAAGATACCACTCATCTTCCTGCCTTACCAAATACATGTAAAACAAATGGATACACCATGCTTTTTTTTTTTTTTTTTTTTTGGTTTTTCGAGATAGGGTTTCTCTGTGTAGCCCTGGCTGTCCTGGAACTCACTCTGTAGACCAGGCTTGCCTTGAACTCAGAAACCCACCTGTCTCTGCCTCTCAAGTGCTGGGATTAAAGGCATGTGCCACCATTGCCCGGATGGGATACACCATTCATAATACATATTTGCTATATATCTATTAAATATACAGAGATAGAAAATAGTGACACTTTTCAGAGGAGGACCCTAAGGTCCGGTGTAGCTATAGTTCAGTAAACTCACACAGTCTCTCAGAAAGGGGCCAGGCAGCCTGTTGTTTCTAGAGCCACAAAGCATGCATACTTTCTGATCCAGTAATCCCAGTGGAAGGTTATCCTAGGAAACTAACTTTCAAAAAAAAAGAGGCCAGCAAGATGGCCCACTGGGTAAAGGCATTTGCTTCCAGGCCTGAGGTCTACTTCCACATGTGTTGTGGTATGAACATGTTGCCCTGCCCCCTATGCCTCAAGTAAGCGTAAAAATTAAAAGAAAAGATTGAGCTCTAGCATAACCCACAGAAAACCCTAGGCAAGATCCCAGCACCAAAATAAGCAGGTAACAATTTAACAATAGGAAGAAGGAACATTATTCAAATTAACATAGCCATTGGAGTGTTATTTAGTGGTCAGCAGCAGGGGGCTGGCTAAGTCAATATGATTGTATCTACCTGGAAATATTCTTGTATCCACAATCAATTAAAGCCCTGAAAACTAGTTTGGAACTCAGCCAACTCCCAAAGAGAAGAGGGCAAGGGGAAGGAACAAGAACAGGAGTAAACATGCAGATAGACCACGAGGCACAAAAGAACTCAGGGAGTTGTTCTTTAGGCAGATGGCCAGGCAGGTGCTTAGGCTTGGTTTCCAGAGCCCGCAGTATTATAGCACCTGTAATGAAAAATGAAATGAGGAGAGTGGCCAGTGCGACTGTGGCTCTTCCTTACAGAACAAGAATGAACCTGAGCTGAGAGAGGCTGCAAAGCTAGGTACGAATGCTCTGACTCTGTCCCTAGTGCCCAGTGTGTGCTTCTGACATGGCCCTGCATGTCACCAGTGCCCAGTGCGTGCTTCTGACATGGCCCTGCATGTCCCCAGTGCCCAGTGTGTGCTTCTGAGATGGCCCTACATGTCCCCAGTGCCCAGTGTGTGCTTCTGAGATAGCCCTGAATGTCCTCAGCACCCAGTGTGTGCTTCTGACATGGCCCTGCATGTTTACTGAGGAGCTCTGCTGGTGTGAGGTTGCCAGAAGCTCACTGAGACACAACAGCTAATCCTAACACCAGGGGTAGCTTAGGAATTTTTAGGGCAAATATATTAACTGTTGTTTATATCCTTAAGAAGGATAACAGCCCCTGTGTTGAATTTCCTTTAAAAAATGGATTGCTGGCTTGCAGGCTTGCAGGAGTGTGAAGAGAAGAAGAATGGACCCTGACCCATGTTTTCAGGTCCCACAGACAGGGAAGTATATGACAATGTACATGCAGGAGCAGCCATGGGGACAGGAAGAAGGCAATGGCCTCCCAGGGCATGCACCCATCTTAGAGCAGGTAACAAGCAGAAAACCACTGACACTCCAACTCGGGGACAAGCAGTACCCAAGGTGATCGTGGCGTAAAGGACTCCTTCAGGCAACTGTGCCCATCTGGAGACTCCAGTGGGAAGATATGCTCCATAGTGACCTGTGTGATTGATGTTCAAAGGCATGGACAGAGGAGGGGGGAGAGGGGGAAGGGTAGGGAGGAGAGAGAAGAAGAGGGGAGGATGAAGAGAGACACAGTCATACACAAAGCCCCCAGCTGTGATATGTGGCTACCTACCACTAGAGCAGTGGTTCTCAATCTGTAGGTCGTGACCCCCTTGGAGGGCTGAATGACCCTCTAATAGGGGTCGCCTGAGACCATCAGAAAACAGAAGTTAACACTATGATTTGTAACAGTAGCAAAATTATATTTACGAAGTAGCAACAAAAATAATTTTATTTCGTTGGGGGTCACCATAGCATGAGAAACTGTATTAAAGGGCCGTAGTATCAGGAAGGTCCAGAACTGCTGCACCAGAGGCTACTGCTGTCTCCTCTGAGGCGTGGACTTCTCAGGAGGGGCCAAGGGTGTCATTCGAAAGATCTGATCACATGACCACTAGAAGTGACCACTAGTCCTCACCAGAGAGATAAGGACAGAATGACATGTGTCATGTCTGGGTCGTGCCTTTAAGAAACAGGCAGGCACTTTCTATCCACTCTTTGCAGAGAAGATGCTTAGGCCCTGGAGGGTGACCGAGCCAAAGATCAGAGGTGGCTAAGTATCCAAGTGACACAGGATCAGAAATGCCACGCTGCTATGAGTAGAAACCAATGCCTGAGAGATATGTGTTACAGCAACAGGTCTTCCCCAGCATCAGGATGAAGATATCTTGGGCGGACAGAGGGACAGCCGGTAATGTCTCAAGCATGAGCTTGCAACATGCTCAGTTAAAGAGGAGATCCCACTCAGTGGAACTGTTCTGGGGCATTCCTGATGAAGCAGGACAAAGTCCCAGGGGTTGGCCTTATCTACAAAGCCAGCACAATCCTGTTGGCTACTCAGCTAGAGCAACCCCTATACCTAGTGACCCTTCCTCTCGTTAAGACCAGGTCACCCTGCTCAAGCAGGTGTGGGGACAGCAGGCAGGAAATGAGGGCTATTTGGCTGGCTACCTAGGTAAAGGTCACAAGGATGTCCAAGTTCCCAAGTTGTCCCTAGATCTCGTGATGGCGGGATAGGTGGGCAGCCTTCCTGCCGCCTGCTTCTCTGGCCCACTCCCCCTGGTGAGTCAGAACTGGCACAACTAGAAGTCCTGGGCCAGGTGGTAAGCAGCAGGGTCGCACAGGCAAGAGGCAAACACTAAGGGGCTGGGTGTTTCTGACCACTTGTTTGTGTGAAGTTGAAGAGTCTGCCACTGTGTGTTTAGGAGACAGGTCCTGGCTGGCAGGAGCCACACCCAGGAGAGCGATAGATGGAGGTGCTCTCTAGTGAGTCACCGTTTCTGCCTTCGGGATGCACCCAGACAGCATTGCCACACCCTTGGTTGGCTTGGATCTGAAATCACAGCCCAGCTGTGACTCGCCAGCACCTCATTGGCACCGTGGGCTGACCTGAAGCTCATCTGCCCGCAGTGCCAACCACTGATAATATCCTCGGCCCCAACAAGCCCTCACCTCCCACACAGTTCCTGGGCCTGGAGTTCCGCAGGTAAATAAGGAAGAGAAAAGCCCAAGTCACAGCTCCAGGTCCCAACTCATTCAGAGTCCTGATCTTGAAGAAGTGTACGAGGCCCCACCTGCTTCAGCCGTGTTCGTCCACACCACCCACCGGGCACCCACTCCCACCTCCTTCAACATTTGCAAAGTTCTGTGTGACTGTGACAACAAAACATTCCTCAAAGAGGAGAGGCTGAGGAGATGCTAATCATGATGCTGCTGCTGTTGGGGGACACTTATTGTTGACTTGTCCCCAGTGTGGTGTTACAGAGAGACACTCCGGACCATTGACAGTATTAGAGGCTGGAGGGATGGCTTGGCGGTTAACCGCACTTGCTGATTTTACAGAGGACACAGGTTTGGTTCTGATCACCCACAGGCTTCTCACAGCTACCTGTAACTCTAATTGCAGGGGTTCTGGCACCCTCTTCTGGCCTCCTTGGATACTAGGTACAAACATGTACAGGCAAAACACTCATACCGATAAAAATAAACAGGTTCCTTACTTAAAAAAGAAAGCTCAAGTGGAAAAGTGAGGCCTTGTAAGAGTTTGTTGGTATTGGAGCATCTTCAAAGGGACCAGAGGACCCTAGCCTTCCCAATCCTGCTTTTGCCTGTTAACTTTGAGGTGATCAAGTTGCACATGGCCCTTTACAGTCCGAGTGCAGCCTAGAGCAAGGTGCTTCCCCAGGCTTGAACTAGCGGTCCCAAACCTGTAGCCCTACAGAATCCTTTCACCTCAGAAGTTAGTTGTCTCAGGTACCTCATGATAGTGACGAAAGGCCAGCTTCTGTAAGCTTAGGACCCTGGCCAAGAAGACTGAGCTTCTAGCATCCAGCTCAGCTTATAAAGCCCATTTGCATATATCTGAAACCTAAGCTAGGCCAGTCATGAGCTGATCTGCAAAGAAAGGCTTACAGTCTCACTCAAGGAAGAACCAAAATCGCTGTGCTCTTCAGCCCTTCCATACGTTCCTGAACTCGCCCGGCCCTGCCACAGCGGCCTCTTCTCTGACTAAAGCACCCTTGTGCTCTCTTCCCAGAATTCTGGCTCTGTATTTACCTGCTTGATCTCTTCCCCATAGCTTCCAACATCCTGAGGTCATAGTGTTGGTATCAGAATACCTGCTTGCTTTCCTGCAGTAAGCTGAATCACTGTCCTGTTTTCTGCATTAATAGGCATCGCCAAACATAATCTGACATATTTGTGGTCTGTGCTCTCTCCATTGGCTTCAAGTGTTCTCATCCTGCTGGTGGAAGCTTAGTAACTGAATTCAGAGAAAGAACATGAATGCTTCCCCCAGACTCAGCCTGACATCAACCAGCACACCTCTCCTAGGCCACTGCTTTGTGCTCAGTGCAACAGCAGCCTGTACAACAGGCTGGAACCCTGTGGATACAGGAATCTGTTCCAGTGGGCATCCCCTTCCCTTCCTCACAGGCAGGCAAGGTCTGCACACTTCACGAAGACCAAAGGATGAATGCTGTATGGCCACTTCTCAGTGAGGTCATTTCCTATGTCGTGTCACTTTGCCTGCCTCTGCTTAAGGGCCCAAGGTGAGCCTGTCACCCGATCATGAGTCAGCAGCAGCAGCCTGTGGGCTATAGCAGTTAGACCCTCTGGGCCCAACCCCTCGGACATACCATTCATGGATGTGTCAAATGGCTCAGCCTCTTCATAGTAGCCCTCGGGGGACTCGATCTTTGGAATGGTGGGTTGTTTCCTCTCTGGAATCTGTAGTACAAACAGACAAAGCCAACAGCTTCAGATGGAGTACACTGGGAGCAACTAGGGTTAACCTTTCATGTGGGAAGAGGGAGAACTCCGGGGTTTTATGCTATGTTATGGTCCTCTCAGTGGGGTGTCACGGTTATGAATTTCAGGACAGGTGGAGCTTGACAGTGAGCTGGTTCCACACCTACCCGTCTCAATTCTGAGATTCCCTGGGGTTTTGAATCTGCTTCAACCTTACTAGTTCTGTCTGGTAGCAGGGTCCACTGGTCCATATCTGACATAAAATAAAACAGTTGGGACAAGCAAGGACCAGCTCCTCCACCAAGGATCACCTGTGGGGAGGCCTTCATTGTAAAGAGTCATGCCTTAATCTCCCAGAGAAGGCCTTCTCTCTTCTAGCCCTTCTGTACTCTGGGCACTCACTCAGAACCAAACCAGATTCCTCGAAACTCGGACCACTGTTCTCGCTCCCTGTGGTCCCCAGTAGTGTCTGGGTACACAGGAGATTGAGAACCACAACATCCATCAGAGATCTCACTGTTTCTCACCCAGAAGAATATGGGCTGGGACCCCCATCACAGATGTGTTCTGCCTCCTCTGAGTAGCGTGCAGTGCAAATGCACAGCCTGAGAAGACATGTGACCTTAGATGGTTGGCCCATGTGGTGGTTTGAATAAGGAATGGCTCCCACAGACTCATGGGTTTGCATCCTTGACCCATAGGAAGTGGTACTATAAGGAGGTGTGTCCTTGTTTGAGTGGGTGTGGTCTTGCTGGAGTAGGTGTGGCCTTGCTGGTGTGTTCCCATTGGAGGAAGTATGTCACTGTGGAGGTAGCCTTTGAAATCTCATATATGCTCAAGCTATGCCCAGTGTGTCAGTCTCTTGTTGCCTACAGATCAAGATGTAGAACTCTCAGCTCCTTCAGTACCATGTCTGCCTGCACACCACCATGTTACCAGCCATGACAGTAACGGACTAAACCTCTGAAACTGTGAGCCAGCCCCAATTAAATTTTTCCCTTTATAAGAGTTGCTATTGTCATGGTGTCTCATCACAGCAATAAAACGCAAAGACAACTTGTCTAGGCTGTAGTATAAAAAGCAGAAACATCTTCACTGGAGGATCAAACTGTGCTGGGCAACATGAAGTGTCCAGTAAATGTTCATTTTTACTAGCCTAAAAAAAATAAAGTACAAAGACATCAAAGTCCCACGCATATGTCCTATAATCCCAGACACAGTGACTTATCATCAAACATCAAGGACAGAGATGCTAATGTCTAAGGAAGAAGGACGACTCTGTAAGTCCCAGCATTATAAGGACCACTCTGTAAGTTCCAGCATCATAAGGACTACTGTGTTAAGCACTGGCATCATAAGGACCACTGTGTCAAGCACCAGCATCATAAGGACCACTGTGTTAAGTAAGCACCAGCATC